GAGTATTGGATGCAGGACTAGAATCCTGCATCCAGTTTTGGTCACCACATTATAAAAAAGAGACCCTAGAAAAAGAACAGAGAAAAGCAACCAAGAGGATGAGGGGACTGGAGGCTAAAAATAGGATGAACGGCTGCAGGAACTGGGCCTGGCTGGTCTAGGGAAGAGAAGGACCAGAGGAGACAGGAGAGCAGCCTTCCAATATTTGAGGGGCTGCCCCAGAGAGGAGGAAGGGGGTCAAGCTATTTTTGAAAGCACCTGAAGGCCAGACAAGGAATAATGGATGGAAACTGACCAAGGAGAGATTCAACCTGGAACTAAGGAGAAACTTTCTGACAGGGAGAACAATCAACCCATGGAACAGGAGTTGCCTTCAGAAGTTGTGGGAGCTTCATCACTTGAGACTTTCAAAAAGAGATTGGACTCCCATCTGTCAGAAACGGTGTAGGGTCTCCCACTTGGGCAGGGGGTGACCTATAAAGTCCCTTCCAACTCTGATTATCTGTCATCTGAGATCAAAGAAAAAAGAAATGTGACATTCTGACCAGGGGAAAGCCAGGCACGAGTGTCGGGTGTGGGAGGCATTTCAAAGAGGTCTGGATGGCTTGTGGACCATAGGAGATGTGAAGATAAAACTGTCAGATTCCTACCCTGGGCTTATGGCTACGTACACAGGAGCAGGCTGCCTTGATCACAGGGAGACCTTATCTAGCCTTCTCTGGTCAGACTCCAACTGGAGTCCATCCAAACAGGACAAGGACAAGCGTGGACGGAGGTAGAGGAAGGTTATCCGGATGCTGCAGAGTCTGGAAGCCTCCCAGCGTTTAGGGGCTGCCACAAACAGGAGGGGGTCAACTTATTTCCCAAAGCACCGAAGGGCAAAGGATGGCAACCAATCCAGGAGAGAAGCAACCTGGAATTAAGGAGAAACATCCTAACGGTGGGGACAATTAACCAGTGGAACAGCTGGCCACCAGAGGTCCTGGGTGCTTCTTCACAGGAGGTTCTTTAGAAGAGACTGGACAGTCATTTGTCTGAAACGGTATGGGGTCTCCTGCTTGGGGGGGTGGGGCTGGACTAGAAGACCTCCAAGGTCCCTTCCAGTTCTATTCAATGGAAGCTCAGCTTTCTGAGGAATGGTCAGAAGATCTGGTGGGATTCATCTACAGATGAGAGGACCGTGGGCAGATGTGGTAACCCTCTTCGCAGGAATGTCACTTGGGAGGACATTTGTCCCCGGGGACAGGAACCCAATTTATGGATTGACACCATAATGGAGGAGGCTGGGGCTAAAGCGCAGGAGGGGCTTCCCGACCGTCTAGCAGGCCAGGCTGTTCCGTGTCAGTTGCCCACCTTGAGGGCCCTTCCGGCGGAGGCTGCAGGGTCCCCTGTCAGGGAAGCTCAAGTGGAACCTTCCCTGGAGACCGAGGGGTGCCCGAGGTGCCCCTCAGAAACTGCACCTGCCACCAGTGGAGCCAGCCAGGGACGGGGCTGGGTCCCGTTTGTGGAAGCATCGAACACCCTGTGAGTGACATTAAGTGGTCCGACTGCTTGTCCCTCTCATAGGATCCCATCAGGACACCATACCTGAAGGATCATCTCCTTCTCTCCCCGATAACAGACCATCAGAGTTGGAAGGGACCTTGTAGGTCCTCTAGTCCACCCCCCGCCCAAGCGGGAGGCCCTACACCATTTCTGACAAATGGCAGTCCTGCCCATTGACGGAGGTCTGGGGGAGAATCCTTCCGGAAAGGTTCCCCCAAATGAAAAGGGACATTCCCAGGTATCCCATTTTTTTGATCTTCCCAACGATTTACACGGTTTTTCCCCTGTTCTTTTCACAGCCATTAATTACTCATCTCAATGGGCTTTTGCTTCGTTGCTCAGTTCTACATATTCTGTTCTGAAGAAATTACCTTAGCTACCTTTATGTCGCAGTATCTTTTCCCCCCTGTGTTGCTATCTTGGGTGGGTTCCAATTTTTCTCTCCTCTTATATCCCAGGAGCAGCCTTCAGATTGGTTGGTTTTGAGGAAAAGGGGCTTTTTCTTAGTGAAACAAAGGCTAAAGTTAATTATAACCGAGGACGTATAATTGGCTGTGATTACAGGTTTTTTAAATGGCTACGGTGTAGTCTTGACTTTGAGGTGCTTTGTTGTTTCTTTGGAGTTTTGTGATTTGTAGGGGGGTGGTGTTGATAGAAAATATGCATCTCCACAGGATCCCTGTGTGTGCAAAATCAATATTTCTTTTTTAAAAAAAAAAATACATGGCATAAGTGCAGTCATAATATTCAGATTCATTCTTGGGAATTAGCAACCTCTCCTAGATTTGCAGGTAAAACTATTATTCTTTAGGAAAGGTGACCAAATTTTCAGAAGTATAACTCAAAACCCAGCGCACTAGTCCTTGCTTAGCAACCGTCCCAGGAACTAGCCACTCAGTGGTTAAGCAAAGTGGTCGCTAAAGGAAACCACTTCAGCTTTTCTTCCTTTACAGACCTCCCAAGGTTGTAAGTGGGAGGTTTGGTGGCAGAATGACTTTTTGTCCTCATTATCCCTACAAACTGTCACTAAGTAAGGTAGTTGCTAAATGAGGACCACGTGTAGCGGAATGCAACGGACCGTTGGCTCAGTCTAACCAAGGGAAATTCAAAGCAACTTTTGCACCTGGACAAAAAGTCTTGACTTAGCACCAATCACACACACAAAAGAAAGGATCCTGGGTGTTGGCTAGATTTTGTGTTACATCTACATCACATTCAGTCACACACTGAATATAGACCAGCTGAGAAATATCATGTGGTTGTGGGGGGGGGAAAGCTCCTGTAATTTATGAAGCAATTTCTTAGTTACAAGAAGTAGGAGTTGTACTTTAATGCACATTAGTTAAGCATATTCTGGGCGACCAACAAATCTTGAATCCAACATAGAAAAATTGTGCCTTCGGGTTCAAGGAAAGGCATTAACTCATGGGGTGGAAAACCTTTCAGAATGAAAGTCGGGAGAATTTTTATAGAATGGAGGGAGACAGGGAAGCAGCCTGGAGAAATGCTGGGCAGGCGGTCCTCGACTTACAGTTCATTTAGTGGGCATTCAAAGTTACAACAGCACTGAAAAAAAGGGACTCGGGACGGGCTTGTATATTAAAGATTTTGATGCTCCTAACAAAGGAATGCAGCGCAGTCAAGTCTTAAGATGCCAAGAAACAGGATTCCGAGTTGCAGGTTAATCTGAGTTTTGTCCTGGTTCTATTTTGGAGGATGCTAAGCTTCGTTTTGCGACCCGGAGAGGTCAGTTTTATTTGACTCCCTTTATGGCACCGGATCTCATCAGCGCCAAGAGACTCCAGCAGTTGACCCAGGTAGAAACCTTAGCAGGCCTTTTAAGGGAAGAGCCAGCTGGGAGCAGGGGCGAAGGAGGGGGGGCCTGGGGGGGGGAGAGAAGGTGGATCGGATCAAGGGGAGCCACTGTGTCACTGCTGGCTGCAAACATGGAAGCGCGTTTGGGTCGGGGTTTTTTTTTTTAAAGAGCAATCAGATCCTCTTAATAGAGGCAGCCCTTGACTTTCGACCACAACTCAGCCCCAAATTTCTGTTGCTAAGTGAGACGTTGGCTAAGTGAGTTTTGCCCCATTTGATGCCCCGTTTTGCGACCTGGAATATAGAATAGGACAGAGATGGAAGGGACTTTGGAGGTCCTCTAGACCAGCCCAAGCAGGAGACCCTGGACTAATTAACGACTGCAGTGACTCCCTTAACAGCAACGGCTAGGAAGGCTGCAGAATGAAGCAAAACTCGCTTCACAACAGTCTCGCTCCGTTTGGGGTTTTCTTGCCACCGTCCTTCAGTGAATCCCTGCGGGCGTTAAGTGGCTGAACTCTCCTTGTCAGAAGGACCCAAAAGGGGATCGTGCCACCCCAGGACACGGCGACCGTCATGAATAGGAACCAGGGGCTATAGGGGGACTGAATTTTGATCACGTGATCAAAACGGTCGTAAGTGTGGAAAACGGTCCCTTTTTTCAGTGCCATTATAACATCGAACAGTCGCTAAATGAACTGTTGTAGGTCAAGGACTGCCTGGAGCTGTTTATTAGAGGAATCCTTTTATCGGCCGAAGAAAGGAATAGAGGCTGTATGGCGTCAGCCACCTTCACACAGCCAGCAGGAACCATGTCGTGCCTGGGACTTTGGGGTCTGTCCGCCAGAATCAGCCCTGCCTTCTCTCTTAACAGATGTAACAGATCGTCAGAACGGGAAGGGACCTTGTAGGTCATCTAGTCCAACCCCCCATGCCCAAGCAGGAGACCCTACACCATTTCTGACAGAGGGCAGTCCAGTCTCTTCTTGAAAGTCTCCAGTGTGACGCTGCCACAACTTCTGTTCCATGGGTTGAACAGCTTCCCACTGTCAGAAAGTGTCTCTTTATTTCCAGGTTGAATCTCTCCTGGATCAGTTTCCATCCATTATTCCTTGTCTGGCCTTCAAAAGTGCTTTGGAAAACAGGATGATCCCCTCCTCCTCTCTGGGGCAGCCCCTGAAATATTGGAAGGCTGCTCTCCTGTTTCCCCTGGTCCTTCTCTTCCCTAGACCAGCCAGGCCCAATTCCTGCAACCGTTCATCATATGTTTTAGTCCTCTCATCATCCTGGTTGCTCTTCTCTGCATTCTTTCTAGAGTCTCAATATCTTTTTTGTAATGTGGTGAACAGAACTGGATGTAGTACTCTAGGTGTGGCTTTATAGAGTGGTATTAGTCCCTCCCTTGATCTCGATTGTATCCCTCTGTTAATACAATTTAGGATCGCACTGGCTTTTTTGGCAGCTGCTGCACACGGCTGGCTCCTATTTAGCTGGTTGTCCACTAAGACTCCAGGATCCGTCTCATAGTTCCTGCTATTGAGCCTGGTTTCACCCAGTCTATGTGTGTGTCCTTTGGGTTTCCCTTGCCTAAGTGTGGTCTTCTGACAGGCCTCCTTCCTTTCTCTTCCTTGTCTCCATAGTCATTTGCTTTGTGGTGACCAAGTCCTTGCTGGTGACCTGCTGCTTGCCCGTCTTCCTGATGGGGGTGAGGTACTACTTCAGCAGGAAAGTTATCCTCAGCTATCTGGAGTGTGCCCTGAACACGGACATGTCGGACATCGAGCAATATTACATGAAATCCCCAGGTGAGTGACGGAATCCACCGAGGAACTGACCCACCACCCCGTGGCTTGTGAAGGGGAATGGTCTCACACCTGCCCTCCTGTCCTGATGGGTGAAGGGCCCATCATTGGTCTAGACCAGCCGTCTCCCACCTTGGCAACTTTAAAGCTGGAGGACTTCAACTCCCAGAATTCCCCAGGTTTAAAGTTGCCAAAATGGGACATGGTGGCTCAGGGGCTGTGCTTGTCAATCAGAAAGGTCGGCAGTTCGGCGGTTTGAATCCCTCGCTCCGCGTAAAGGAGTGAGCTTCCGTTCCTTGTCCCAGCTTCTGCCAACCTGGCAGTTCGAAAGCATGTAAAAAATGCAAGTAGAAAAATAGGGACCCCTTTGGTGGGAAGGGAACAGTGTTCCGTGCACCTTCGAAGGCATTTAGTGCTGACCACAGAGACGTCTTCGGACAGTGCTGGCTCTTCTTCGGCTTTGAAACGGAGATGAGCACCAGCCCCCGGGAGCCAGAAACAACTAGCGCATATGTGCGAGAGGAACCTTTACCATTACCTAAATTTGCCAAGGTTGGAGACCCCTGGTCTAGACAATAGTAGTGCTTATTGGCTTCTTGGGCCCTTTACTGCTAAATATAAACAAAGGAAAAATGTTCCGCCATTTTTTTAAATGCTGCTACTCGGGTTGACGTGGAAGTCTTGAGACCTGAATCTCAGCAAATCCCATTGTTTTCCCTGGATTAAAGCTCTGATGTGACAGGCAACCCAGTTGATAGGACTTTAACTTGGCTTTTCTGTAAAAAAAAAATCTTGTATGTCTTAAGTATTGTAGCCAAAAACAAAGAAACCAAAACAAAACTCTGGGGGATGCTTTAGAGATTGTATTATTGGTACCTGTACAAAAAATGAACAAATAGTTTTCCCCGTATTTAAAAAAGGCCTATGAATCCAGGATACGTGGAAGGTGTGTTTGTATCATGAGAAGGCAAGGCTGGCTCCAACTGAGTCCAGTCCCTGGTAATGACACGGGCCCCACGTGGCTCTCTTGGCAAGAGCTGGGTTGCCATTGGCGGAAGGAGCTGTCCGTCCTTGCCTTCCTTGGAGCTCTTTTGCTCAACGCTAGAGGAACCTAGAACTTGGAGTTGACCTCCTACTCAAGGATCAGCCTTGCCTGACCCTTCTCAGGACCACCTAGACTCAAAAATTATTATTCTGTGACAACATGGATAAATTTGTACAACGGACCTGTCACTCTAATTCATTGAGAGCAGTGTGTTTGTGTGGTCTGAGTGTGCGTGTTTTAAAAATCTTGTCAAAATAGAAAGCTTGGTACTTATATTTATGTATTTATTTGATTTTTATCCCACCTTTATTACTTTATCAATAACTCAAAGCAGCAGACATACCTGATATTCCTTCCTCCTCCTGTTTTCCCCACAACAAGAACAACAACCCTGTGAGGTGGGTTGGGCTGAGAGAGAGAAGGACTGGCCCAAAGTCACCCAGGTGGCTTTCATGGCTAAGGCGGGACTAGAACTGACCACCTTCTGGGTTCTCAGCCAGCATCTTAACCACAATACTGTATTTTGCCTTGTAAACAATTTCTATGGGATCCGTGTGCATACAGATTCTCCTCGTGGTCCATTTGTGAAGTGGTTTGTGTACTCCCAAAGTGTTCTGCTAATCGATTCTTTGTCTATATAGGGTTCCTCTCTTTGAAACAAAGACGGCATAGTGTTGTCCTTCGGCTTGAAACATAGGAATATTGTTCAAGGGGCTTGTGAACCAAAGTATAAGTTAAATCTATTTTGAGTAGAGACGGGTGAACAAACTGTGCCTTTCAGTTTGGCACAAAGCTGCCCTGGTTTAGGACATGTGAGTTTTATCGTTACTATTCGGGTGCCTGAAAGAAGATCTGAAGGGAGGGAAGGTTCTAGATTCCTGAGAGTGGCTCCAGTTTGCGGACCATCCGTGTCCAACGCAGTTCCTTCCCCACAGCGGCCGAGGCAGAGAGGGAGGGCGGGAGGGATGCTCTCTTGCAAAGTGTACCAGGCCTCAGTTGTGACTCAAGCGGCTTCCACGTCTCCTCAGAGCAAGGGTTACTCAGGGGGGGAAAGGGTGTTAGTAAAGGTGCGTTGCACACCAACAGAATCTAGGACCCTCCTGAATTAGTGGGAGGTCTCCAGGCAAGGAAGAACATCCTTCTAGTCCCGCCCGTCCCGTGAGTTTGGAGAAAAGATTTTTGCCTTTGGGGGGCTTGGACGTCAGAGCTGGTCATCTCAATGGGAGGGGGAGATTTCAAGGTCCCCCTTTAAAGATTTCCGAGCGAGGAAGAGCCAAGAGTTCCCTGAAGTGAGGACCAAACGAGCGGGTGCTCACTGGAGCCCAAACCGGGGTGTGTGTGTGTTACGATGAGGCTTCATTGACTGCTGGTGCTTGGGAATACTCCAATCTTGTATGTTTACAAGATTCCTCCCATCATCCTGGAAGCCATTTGTGCTTCATGTGATGGTGGCGGGGTGGGGTGGGGTGGGGGTGAAGCAGGAGGAAATAACTTCAAATAAACACACAAAACAAATCATGTTCATTGCTAACTAGGAAATAAATCCTATCAGAAGTGAAATTCAAGCTTTGGCTGCCAATGAAGTCCAGAAAATACGGTTCCATGGAGCCTTCGGAGCAATAAAATCCTGGCTTTCCAATTTATATTGAATCTCTGGTTGTTTGCACTGAGATCCTTGGGTTGGCCACAAGGGTGGAGAGGAATCAGTGGATCTGACGCTGTTTTACGGGGACCGGATCTTTTGTGCCACTTACGGAAGATTTCTTGCTTGTTGCTTAACCGATCAGCTGTTTGTGGGCTTTTGAGGATCTTCCTCCATTCTCTCTGCTAATATGCTTGTGAAATTTGTTTTGCTGATTCAGAGAAAAATACTTCCGCATCCCAGCTATCGGGAAGCTTTGAATGGTCCGTGGAAGGGAAGCCTTTGAAAGCATCTGTTCAGGTTGTGGAGGTTTACCAAAATAAGACTGTTGTGCCTGGGTGATTGCAAAATCTTGTATTAGCCAGCAGTAACAACCAGCACTTCATCCAGACAAGTTAGGAGTGGCTGCTTGTGAAACAGTGGAAAGGCATTTCCAATATTTGGGGCAAATTCAGGAACTTCTATAAATGGCACCTTATTCCAATAAAGATTTTGTAACCAGCATTACGACTTGCAATGGTTCATTTAGTGACCATTCAAAGTTACAATGACACTGAAAAAAGGGAGTTATGACTGTTTTTCACACTTAGGGCTGTTGTGGCATTCCCCAAGGTCACATGATCCAAATTGTTGGCAACTGGCTGGTCCTTATGACAGTCCCAGAGTCCCAAGGATCACTCAATCCGCTTTTGCGACCTTCTGTCGAGCAAAGTCTGTAACTACATAGCCAAAAAGGTGTTAAGAGTTTGTTAATCTAATCCTACGTAGCTTTTTCTCTGGTAATATTACACTAATAACTAGAGCATACAAAACATTTGCTAGACCAATACTCGAATACAGCTCATCAGTCTGGAACCCACATTACGTATCTGATATTAACACAGTTGAGAAAGTCCAGAAATATTTCACAAGAAGAGTTCTCTGCTCCTCTACTCGTTGCAGAAGACCTTATGCCACCAGACTCGAAATTCTAGACCCAGACAACCTAGAACTACGCCGCCTTCGGTCCGATCTAAGTATGGTATATAAAATCATACATTGCAATGTCCTACCTGTCAATGAATACTTCAGCTTCAACCATAACAACACAAGAGCACACAATAGATACAAACTCAAGGTTAATCGCACCAAACTTGATGGCAGGAAATACGACTTCAGCCACAGAGGGGTCAATGCCTGGAATCCTCTACCTGACTCTGTGGTTTCTTCCCCAAACCCCAAAAACTTTAACCTTAAGACTGTCTACTATTGACTTCACCCCTTTCCTAAGAGGTCTGTAGGGTGCGTGCATAAGCGCACCAATGTGCCTACCATCCCTGTCCTATTGATTCTTTTATTTTTCTTATATGTATCCATGTATTCATAACTACGTTTATTCTTATACCTATTATATTGTAAGCAATTGACAAAAATAAATAAATAAAGTAAAGTAAATAAATAAAGTCAAAGGGGAACCCAGGCTCACTGAATATTGCAGTGATTCACTTAACAACTAGGGCAGACAGGTTGTAAAATGGGGTAAAGCTAACTTAACAGCCACTTTGCTGAGCAACAGACATTTTGGGCTCAAGGGTGGCCGTGAAGTGAGGACTAGCTGTGTAACTCCAGAGGGTCCCCAGACTTTGCCGTCCGGGGGGGAGGGGTGTTGTTTTTTTGTAGAATACCCTGTGAAAATGCCGCCTGCTGCTTTGTGAGGCGCCCAGGTCTTTGCCAAAGGCTTCGCAGGGAGAACGGACAGGCCGGGCTTTGAAAATAAACGGAGGTTTTCTCCTCCTCCTTCTTTGTGTTTTTCTACCTTGAATGGCCGGAGAGCCAAAGGCATTTTCAGGGCATGCAGGGGGTGGAGGGGGGGTTTGGTTTTCTCCCCTCTTTTGTCAGACTTGGATCTCTTTGTGAAGTTCATTTCTAGTCCCCACCGAGGTTGGCTGTTCTTTCCCTGGGCTGCCATTGAAGCAGGAACAGCAGCAGCAGAATAGAAGGAACAACAAGCCCCCCACCCCTTCATAGCACCAATGCTTCACACACACACACACACACACACACACACACACACACACACACCTGCTCTGGCCCTCTTCCACAGAGGGTGGGGGGGGAGGAGGAGGAGGGAGAAAAAGAGGAAGGAGCCAGGAAGGCAGCCGTGGAGGGAAGGTGGGCAGCCTGGACAGGGTGCCAGTCAGTGGGTGCAGCTCCAGACGGGAACCCCCCCCCCCACCTGGCGGGGTCACAGAAGGGATGGGGCTGGCCGCGAGGGAGCATGTGCCTCACAGTTGCCACTTCCTGGCATTGCACAACCATTGGACCTGATGGTAAAGC